TTTCCTTCCCTCATTCACTACGGTACCATGTCACTGGCAAGACTGTAGAACCCTAAGAAGCAGGAAAAACCTTGTCACATGCAGAATTAAATGAGATACTTAAATATCTAAGTGAGCCAGAGAAACACAACAGAAGCAAGGTTGTGGTGATGTGAGTGGGCAGCAGCACGGGGGTCGGGGGAGTGAAGGCCGGTGGTAAGACGTCCTAATCCAGGACCATGGGCTGGTGGTTCCCCATTTTTTTTCATTACAGAGCCCTTGTTCCAGGAAATATCAGCAGGCCTCATAGGTCACTCCAGTGCCCCAACTTGCTGGGACCAAATCTGTGCCCCAGCTGAGGACCTGGCTGGTTCTCTGTCACCAGAGAAGACTTCATCCCCCTGGGAACTAGCCCCCAAAATCATTTGAGAGAAGGCAGTCCTAACGTTGCTGTGAATGACACCGTGATGTCCTTAGTGGGGAAAAGCATCTTAGCCCTGTGGCTTTCCAGAATTAAACAGAGAGCCAGTGATGTCAGCTGGGCCTCTTCTGTAAACATGTTGGTGGGAAGAGAATCTGTTTATTTTGCTTAGGAATGGGTGATGTTTAAAAGAATTTAACATATCAGAGCCTCTGATGTATCAAATTTGTGACTCTAATTTAAAGCCCGTCATTGATTCAGACCTGTGATTTTACAATCAAAGCACACTGGTTTATAAACAGTATTAGAATACTTATGAGAACTTAAGATTTGCCATAGTTATGTCTAATTTATTAGATTTACAATAATTCTCTAAGTATGGGTGAAGGGTTTATTTTTTAATCAGACTACTAAAGAACTTAGAGATAAAACCAAATATATTCAATTTCTAAGTGCAGTTTAAAAATGTTTAAAAGGAATTAATAATCAAATTTGTGAATTGGTCCAAACTTTAATCAAAACCCCCTTAAAGTCAATTATAAAAATCTGCTGGATTTATAAAAGGAGTAAGATTTATAAGTTGAATAAAAAACTTAATGGAAAACCATGGTTTTTAGTTTATAACTTTAATAAAGTGAATATTAATTCTAAAACCAACTAATCATTCCTGGGTCCCAAATTCATCATTTACTATATCATAAAACTCACATTGACATATTGAATTGTTAACCAAAGATGCACTTTAATTTGCAATTAAAAAGAAAAAAAAATCACTGCCAGAGTCACCCCTAGTCTAGTCGGGGAGACAGCTTTATAAGCAAGAGAAAATCAAAGAGGGGCACCTGGGTGGCTCAGTCAGTTAAGCCTTCAGCTCGGGTCGTGATCCCAGTGTTCTGGGATTGAGCCCCACAACAGGCTCCCTACTCGGCAGGGAGTCTGCTTCCCCCGCTCTCTCTCTCTGCCTGCCTCTCTGCCTACTAGTGCTCTCTACTTTGTCAAATAAATAAATAAAATCTTAGAAAAAAGAAAAGAAAAAAGCAAAGAATAAGACCTTTTTAGGGGGCCAGCCGCGCCTGGTGAAGGGGAGCTATCGGCAACAGTTTCAGAGAAGAGATACACGTGAGGTGCCCACCCTTCCTGCCTGTGGACTCTGTCAAGGGATAGAACAACTTTCCCTCATGTGTAAGTCGGATATCCCACTACTTGCAGCTGGAAGCATGTGACAGCCACAGGTGACAGCCAGGCACACGGAAGGGGAATTCCACTTTCTGGGGGACAAGTTCCCATGACTAGGATGCAAGATGCGTTTTTCCCTCTATCTCAGGCTGGGCCAGCAAGGGGCAGCCTCTGAAGGGTGTTTAGCAAGGGAGTAACACAAACAGATTTTGCCTTTGGGAAAAGGTCACACTCAAAATGCTGTGGAAAACAACCACACGATGCTACACGCTGAAGTCCATGTATCTGTATTTAGGATAACAGCAAATGCTCTGGAAGGAAACACACCAAATTGACCACCTCCAGGAAGAGGGCGAAAATTGGAGATGGTGGCCAAAGGAGACCTTAGCTCTCAATTAAAAAAAAAAAAAATCAACAGTTGAGTAGATAAGCAGAATCAGTATATCCATGTGATAGAATCTTGAAAACAAAGGAAGCACTGACTGATGCCACAGCATGGGAGAACTCTGAAAACGTTACGCTGAGAGAAAAACCAGACATAAAAAGCCACATATGATTCACGGACATAAAATGATGACAGGCAAACCTATAGAGACAGAAAGTTGATGAGGGGCAGAGAGGAGGGAGGATGGGGAACTCACTATCACAGAGTTTCTGTTTGGGGTGATGAAAATGTTCCGGAAATAGTGCTGATGGTCACACAACATTGTGAATGTAATTAATGCCACCAAACTAGATGTTTAAAAATCATAATTTGGGGCACCTGGGTGGCTTAGTGGGTTAAAGCCTCTGCCTCCAGCAGATAATAAAATCTTTAAATTAAAAAAAATATATTTTTACAATGGGGCGCCCGGGTGTCTCAGTTGGTAGAGCAGTTGGCTCTTGGTTTCAGTACAGGTCATGATCTCAGGGTCCTGGGATCGAGCCCCATGTTGGGCTCTGCACTCAGCGAGGAGTCTGCTTGAGGATTCTCCCTCGCTCTCCCTCTACCCGTCCCCCACTCACACTCTCTTGCTCTTAAATAAATGATAGAGAAATCTTTTCTAAAAATGTGAAGATGGTCAATTTCATGTTATGTGTATTCTAAATCACCATCCTGGAGGTTGGGTTGCAGAGTGAAGCTGCAGAGGAGGAGCATGGCCTGGTGGGAGTGGGTGGGCAGGGACAGCAGAGGTGGCTTTAGAAGGCCTCTGGGAGGAGATGCAACAGGGCTTGGGGGTATTTTAGCAAGAGATATCCATGGGACATCCAGGTAGAATATTCTCCAGCCACTTCCTCATCCATGAAAAGAGGAATTATGAGGTGGTTAGGGAGATGAAGATGGTGTGGTTACCACCCCAGGTCTGCTCCCTCCTGGCTGGAGAAAAGGACCAACCGCATCCTCCTCACCATCTTGGGCCAGAGGAAGCAGAGTCTCAGAAGGCAGATGAAAACCAAGGGGACGTGGTATCAGAGAAGCCAAGGAAATGACAAGTGTCAAATGCCACTGAGACGTCTAGTAAGATGAGGACCAGGATTAAGTAACAGGGCCCTAGGACGTTACCAGTCACCTGGGGGACCTGTATCTTAGAACATTCAACCTAACTTTCCAGAACACCCAAGAGCTTTAAACAACTTCCTACTACTCGTCCCCAACTGGACTCATCCACCCCCATGTCACCACCCCCACAACTCAACCAGGGCCTTACAATCTTATCAATTAATCTAGCACTGCGCTCTGTCTCTAGGACCAGGAATGAAGAAAGAAAACACACATGAACACCTATCATGGGCCATATACTGTGCGCTACTGGTCTTCATCACAGTCCCGTAAAGTAAGTGCAGTGTGTTGAGGGCCTCCTCAGAAGTCAGGTCCACCCAGAGCCTCAGGATATGAGCGTTACATGGGAATACAGTCCTTGCAGATGTATTAGTTCAGATGAGGGTGGATTAGGATGGGTCCTAAAACCAATGACTACTGAACTGATAGAAGTGCAGACACAAAGAGACACACAGAGGACAACGCCATGTGAAGAGAAAGGCAGAGACTAGAGTGATTAGTCTGCCTGCCAAGGAACACCAAAGGCTACCACCAGCAGCTGGGAGAGAGGCCTAGAGCAGGTTCTCCCTCAGAGCCCCAGAAGGAACCACCCCTTAGGGCACCCTAATTTCAGACTTCCAGCCTCATGAACTGTGAGGGAATAACTTTCTGTTATTTTAAGCCCCTCAGCTTGTGGTAATTTTTTTTGAAGATTTTAATTATTTATTTGATGGAAAGAGATCATACCAGCAGGCAGAGAGAGAGAGGAAAGCAGGATTCCTGCTGAGCAGAGAGACAGATGCAGGGCTGGGTCCCAGGACTCTGGGGTCATGACCTGAGCCAAAGGCAGAGGCTTTAACCTGCTCAGCCCCTCAGGCCCCCCACAAAGTGTGGTAATTTCTTAGAGCAGCCCAAGGAAACTAAAACAGTGGGTATGATTAGCCTCTTTTTTTGTAGATGGGGAAAATCACTTCACTTCTCTGGGCCTCCAAGCTGGGTTAGTGTTAACCTCCCTCATCAACTCTGGGACATCGCCAAACCAAGTTTCTCGGCCTAAAGGGCCAAGAATTGTAACTAGGGAAATTCATGAAGGTAATGTCACTTGACCGGGCCTCAAGGCAACAGGATGGCCAGCCTTCCCAGGCCACTTCACCCTCACCCAGCAACCCACCGCTGGCTTCTGCATGCCCAGACCAGCATTTCTCATTGGTTGCAGATATGCTACACTGAGTAGGGAAAAAGAGGCTTGCACCACGCCTACCCTGTGAAGGAGTCCCATATGATTATCAGGCAGTTGGGCCCTTTGTCGGCCGTGACAATCCATGGCCTGTCTTCACTGATGCAGAGGCAGGAGATCACGTTAGCGTGGCCCTGCAGAAATGCAGAGAAAATGCTCTGAAACATTCAGGATGTCCAGAGAGTCTGAGCCCCACAGAGAGAACTAAGCTCCTCTTCCAGGTTCATCGGGCTGAAAATTCCACTCCTTTGGCCTTTCCCTGGCATTTCGCCATAGCCAGTGGTTTTCTGATTTTCTCTCCCTCAAAACCCCTGAAGGGTAAGCCACACTCCCCACAAGGACAGGGGCTCCCTACAGATCTAGGCATGTGCCCAACTCTGAACCCAGGTGGGGAATAAATGTTGGGGTTCTGCCCCACCTCCAGCCTCCTTGAAGCCCTGCTGGCCTCGTCTCCCTTAAACAGGGTCCACTCAGGCCACTGAGCAGATCTGGAGCAAAAGCCTCTCTGCTAGTCTCCCTGCTTTCATTCCCATCCCCCCCACAGTCCTTTCCCAGTTACTCAGGAACCTTCTGGAAACAAACAAGATGCTAGTGCTCCCTGCCAGGAAATAGCCCATATCCCCCCTCCTTCCTCTCCCCTTGCTCACTCCATGTCAGTCAGACCAGCCTTCTTTCTGGGCCCCTTGGGCAGGCCTGCAAACCTGGAGCTCCCTGGGTCTGGACTGCTCCTCCCCAAACTGCCCCTGGTTGGTTCATTCTCCTCAGTCAGTCAGATCTCGGCACAAAGGGCACGTCTGCCAGCACAACCAACTGGAGGGCCATCTCTCACTCCTGATCTCTCTCCTGCAGCAGCCCACATTTCCTTTGGAGTGTTTGTTGTAATTCGTAATTGTGTATTTATGAGACTATAATTTCCATGTTTTGTTCATGACTACAGGCCCAGAAACTGAAACAAAGAGGTTCTGATAAATACCTATGGAATAAATGAATGAATGGATGGATGGATGGATAGTCAAGGTCACTCCCAGCCACCTGACTCTGCAGGAAGCTGGACACCTGCCTGGCATGGTCCCTATTTCTCAGCCCATCTGCCTGCTGCTCTTTCCTCGCTCTGCAGACACAAACTACCCCCTCTCCCTCCCATCAGCACTGTGCTCAGTGCTGCACATTCAACTAAGCTCCAAGAAGGGCTGTTTGCTGGGCTTGTGTGTTTCTGGACATTTAGAGAGCAAATTCTGCACCTACATGGCATGGATCCCTGAGCACAGGCTAGGCTTTTGGGAAACCCTCTGTGATGTTTTTGACCTAGGCATTGACTTAAGGAAGGTCCTTATTAAAATATATATCCAGGGGCTCTTGGACAGCTCAGTCAGTTAAGCATCTGCCTTCAGCTAAGGCTTTGATCTCAGGGTCCTGGGATTGAGCCCCATGTCAGGCTCCCCGCTGAGCAGGGGAGTCTGCTTCTCCCTATTGCTCTCTCTTGTTTGCTCTCTTAAATAAATAAATAAATAAATAAATAAATAAATAAAATCTTTAAAAGCAACAACAAAAACTTGCATACCTGAAGATGGTGCTGAGTATTCTTGAAGACATCATAGATGAACGCAGTGTCAGCACAGATGTACAGAAGAACTCTCTGGTTTTCATCTCGAATGTAGTAAACAGGAAGAGAACTCTTCCATCCAAAAGACCAAGTCATGGTCTAGAAGACAAAGGCAAGACCAGCAAGACACTGAGTGCACGGAGCCCAGAACTGTGATGCCAGGCACCCCTGGCGCAGTCTCTGGAGGGGAAGGATTTCACATCATCAGTCCAAAGTGAGGGAAATCCCTTCAAGAACATCCTCAACTGCATTCTAGGGCATGGAGGACCCTCAAATCCATGACACTGAGTAAAACGGGCCACACACAGTACAGGGTCAGTCTAATCCGTAGAAGTGGGAAGGAGCCCAGTGGCTGCTGGGGGCCTGGGGAAGGTGGTCGGGGAGTGATGGCTAGGGGGTATGGATTTCTTTTGTGGGGGATGAAAATGTTCTGGAATTAGTGGAGACAGCTGCACAACCTTGTGAACATACTAAAAAGTAATGGATGGTATGCTTTAAAGGGGTCAATTTTATGAGGATGTGAAGAAATTGGAACCACTGGGCACTCATGGTGGGAATGTGAAATCATGCAGCTGCTGTGGAACACCCCAAGGAGAGCTCTCCAAACACTGAAAGCAGAGTTAGCGTATCATGCAGCAATGACACTTCTGGATACCTAGCTCAAAGAACTGGAAGCAGGCTCTCAAGGAGACATTCACACGCCCATGTTTAGAGCAGCATACTTCACAGAAACCAGAAGGTAAAAGGAAGCCAAGTGTCCCATGACGGATGAAGGGATGAACAACATGTGAGTGTTGTTCAGGCTTCCACAGGAAGGAGATCTGACACTCTACGACATGGATGGGCCTTGGGGACATCACATAAGTGAAATCCACTGGTCACAGAAAGACAAATATAGTAGGATTCCACGGACATGGTCCCAAGAAGAGTCAAATGCGTAGAGACAGAAAGTGGGATGGTGGTTGCCAGGGGCAGAGCTGGGGAACAGGGAGTTGTTCAATGGGTAGGGAGTTTCCATTTCACGAGATGAGTTCCAGGCGTTGGTTGCACCACAGTGTGAATGTACCTACTACGATGCTGTACACCTCAAAATGGTGAAGATGGTAAATTTTAGGGGTGCCTAGGAGGCACAGTTGGGTCAGCAACTGACTCTTGGCTTTGGCTCAGGTCGTGACCTCAGGGTTGTGGCATCCAGCCCGACATCTGGCTCCAGGAATAGTCTGCTTAAGACTCTCCTATGCCCTTCCCCACCCCCCCTCTCTTTCAAATAAATATTTAAAAGAAAGATGAGGAGTGCCTGGGTGGCTCAGTCATTGGGTGTCTGCCTTCAGCTCAGGTCATGATCCCAGGATCCTGGGATCGACCCCCCTGCCAGGCTCCCTGCTCCTTGGGAAGCCTGCTTCTCCCTCTCCCACTCCCCTTGCTTGTGTTCCCTCTTTCTCTGCCTCTCTCTCTGTCAAATATAAGAATAAAATCTTTTTTTTGTTTTGAAGATGCTAAATTATACTTTATGTGTATTTTATCACAATTTCAAATTTTAAGAAGGTAAATTTAATGGTATGTGTATTATACCTTTTTAAAAAAGAAAAGAAAGTCAACAGTAAACAGGAAGAACGTCCTATCCTCCTATTCCCCAGAACCTAGACTGTTCAGGACCTGACACATAGTGAGCACTTAATATTGTAAAATTCAATTTACTTCATGAAAATATATGGAAGGGGGAAGTTACAGTATAGTCACTGAGGAACTTCATAAGAAAGGCAATTATTCATCTGGGAATATTTGTATTTGGTCCTCATATACCATTTCCCCTGGAAGAATAAAGCACAAAGAGACAAGATTCCCTAAGCATGATTAAAAATTCCATATTCCCAGGAATAAATCCAAGATAAAAATTTTCTGAAATGAAAAATTTGAGGTATTATAAATCTGACTATTACTTTTAATTCAATAGTAGTTTACTTATGCATATTTTTGTGTGCAAAGTCTTTTATAAAAATCACGGAAGTGATTAAAACAGTTTATAAAAGCTGTGGATTCATACAAAAGAGTATTATTCAGAAATAAAAAATAATGAACTAGCAATCCAGGAAAAGACATGGAGAAATCTTAAATACATTTTGCTAAGTGAAAGGAGCCAACCTTAGGAGACTTCACAGTGGGGACACCTGGGTGGCTCAGTTGGTTAAGTGTCTCCCTTCGGCTCAGGTCATGATCTCAGAGTCCTAGGATCGAGCCTTGCATTGGGCCCCCTGCTCATCCAGGAGTCTGCTTCTCTCTCTCTCTCTCTCTCTCTCTCTCTCTGCCCCTCCCCTGACACGTGTTCTCTCTCTCTCTCTCTGACAAATAAATAACTAAAATCTTAAAAAAAAAAAAAAAAGGACTTCACATTGTATGATTCCAACTACATGATATTCTGGAAAAGCAAAACTATGAAGACGGGGGGGAAAAATGTGGCCGGGGAGCGAGGGGGTGAAGGCAGGGATGGAGAGTGGGGCATGAGGGATTTGAAGGCAGTGACACAAGTCTGTAGGACACTACAATGGTGGATATACCTCATCATACCTTAGTCAAAGCCCAGAGAATGTCACACCCCCAATTGTGAACCCTATAGTAAAATATGGACGTTAGTTAATAATAACAGTCAACATGGGCTCATCACCTCTAACAAATGTCCCCCACTAATAAAGATATTAACAAAAGGGGAACCTGGTGGGGGGCACAAGGGAGTATATGGAAATTCTGTACTTTTCATTTTGTTTGCTATCAATCTAAACTGCTCCAAAAAATAGTCCTTTTAGGGGCGTGTGGCTGGCTCAATCAGTAAAGCCTCTTGATCTCGGAGTGTTCCAGCCCCTCGCTGGGTGCAGAGATTACTTAAAATAAAAACATTCCATTTAAAAAATTAACCGAGGCCAATTAATTGAATGTGGTAGCATCTAAAGTGATGGCTAAGTGATTAGAGACTTTTAGTAACTGATTCACTCAGTATTAACAGGACCTCCTTGCTCCAGCAGCACTCACACTCATTGAAAGCACACAGTATCAGCGGATGCTGGGCACTAGTGTTACTGTTCGTGGTGAATGGTCATGGAGCTAGCCAGCTCTTACAGCAACCTTCCAAACATGAACACAAAACGCTATGGTCCAAAGCAGATTCCACTGTATTTGACAATCATGAAAGATTCCTTCTCATAAATGCATGACACCTTGTTTTCTTGGTGGAAGTTGGTATCAAGGGTTATTCCTACTTACCAGGAGCTCTCTGAATTATTCCAGGCCTCTGGGGTAAGGCAGGGGACCACAGAGGAAAGGGGGGATGCTGCAGGCAGAGAGAGAAGCAGGAACACGCTTGTTGAAGCCCCTTTGGTGAGAACAAATCAGAAGTAACGAAAACGGCCATCCATAACAGGGCACCGGTTGAATTTAAAATGAGGAAGTGGTTCTACACACCCTGATACAGAAAACCCTCTGAGACATACTAAGTGGTCATGCAGGAGATCTGACTGGTAAAGAAAACAAAATGTAGCGTGTGTTGTGTGTGTGCACACACACAGATGTGTCCATGGATGCCCAAGAAAAGGTCTGGAAAGATATACAGTTATACGAAACTGGAACGGTAGTCACTTTCAGGAAATGTATTTGGCGTGGTCTCTGCGAGAAGAGGAATCTGCCTGAATGTTTTTTTTAACTTATTTATTTTTAGAGCGGGGAGGGTCCGAGGGAGAGAGGCAGAGAGAATCCCAAGCAGGCTCCATGCCCAGTGCAGAGCCCCATGCGGGGCTCAAGCTCACAACCCTGAGATCACAATCACAACCCCAGCCAAAATCAAGACTCAGACACTTAACCAACTGAGCCACCCAGGTGCCTCTGCTTTAATTTTTTTTTTTTAAAGAGCACCTATTATTTTTAACAGGAAGAAAAAAGGAGGGGGGGCACCTGGGTGACTCGGTGGGTTAAGCCTCTGCCTTTGGCTCACGTCATGATGCCAGGGTCCTAGAGCCCCACATCAGGCCCTCCGCTCAGCAGGGAGCCTGCTTCCCCCTCTCTCCCTGCCTGCCACTTTGCTTACTTGTGATCTCTCTCTCTGTGTTAAATAAGTAAAATTTTAAAAAGAGAGAGAGAGAGAGAGGAAACCAATACAGGAACAGGAACAGAAAGAACAGAAAGAAGTTGTCCTCAAGGAGCTAAACAAATTTGCTGAGGGAGGTGGTCTTGAAGAGTTGAGTTCTGCAGTGAGCTCAAGGCTAACAGGGAACCCAACCCCCTGGCATGCAGGACACTTGCTCTCATTAGCGATATCTCCGGATGTCATGCTAGCTGGCTAAATAAGCCAAAAGTCTTCATGGTCTCTAAAACTTGTTCTATCTTTCAGACTGGACAAGCCCAAGTTTTGACCTTGAACTCTACTGCTCAAAGTAAACCCAGTCTACAGAAACGAAGCTGTCATTTGTCTGCATCTCCCACTAGGTGTTTGCCATCATCCTCATCATCACTACCATCCTCGCCACCACCACCACTATCATCTAGATGTGAACACCCGTCCAGCGCTCACTATGTGTCAGGAACTACATTAAACACTTGACGTGCATCCGATCGCTTACAAATCTTCCAAAGGCAGAACCTACAGGGAAAAAGGGAGGTGAATCCTAGGAAGCAATTTTCAGTGGCATATGGAGGAGGAAGGGAAAAACTCTCCTCCTCTTCCTTCTCTTGGTAAATGGTAATATTTGTGTGGCAAAGGCAGATGCCAGTCGACCTCCTGGTGCCCTTCTCAGTGGCTTTCACTTTCTCCATACCTTTTGCTTTCTGGTCCATCTCTGAACGTGCAGTTTTAGGAGCCTGTAATGGTTTTAGGAGCTTGTGAAGAGGTATCAAGCCATCTAAGGCAGAAGAGGTGAGGAGAGGAGGGAAAGGGGAAAGGAATGGAGGAGCAGGAGGAGGAAGTGAGAAAGAAGGGGAATGGGGAGGAGAGGGAGAGATTGTCCTTGAGTCTCCCACAAGAAAGGGCACCCTATGTAACAGACAAACTACGTCCAAAATTTCCTGCCTGGGGAGCAACACTGTCGGACCCAGATGTCAGGCCCAGAGGCAGCACTCCTGTCACACATGTCTCTCCAGAGAGCTGAACTGAACTTTAAAACATTCACGTCTATTATTAGTTCAAAAGGATATTTCTGGTGGTATTTTTTCTTCCATATGCATAACATACCCTTATTTCACAATGCTTTTAAAGCACTAGAGGACACTAAAAACCACGTTACACTGCCTTACCAAAGGATACACGTTGGCGCGGTCATCCTTTCGAAACAATATGTCCTCGCTGGTAGACACCAGTGATTTCTCCGGCATCTCTGCTTTGGACTGGAATTCTTCCTCTCCTCGCTCACTTAAGTCTGATCATCTTTTTTCCTCTCTCCTTTCCCGTCCCAGTTCATCCTGAGGCATCTGGTCAATTTTCTCCCCAAGCTCACTTGAGGGCTGTGTTTCAGGGAAACTAATCTCTGGTTCCTCGGAACCACTTTGATCCAAATCAAGAAATTTTCCTTTTGAGCTCAAGTCTCTTAAAGGCTCATTTGTTTCCAAATGCTCTGATTCTAACACATCCTTTCACTCGCCAAGGGTTCTCTTAAAAAAGAAATAAAAGAAGATTGTGATTCCAAATACAGTGTATAGCTGCTTCATTCCCTCCTTTACTTTTCTTTCTGTTCCTACTCACCCAGCCTTAGTGTTCCCCACATTGGGTTGCCTCCTCAGTGGGGCGTCTGCTTCTCCCTCTCCTGCTCTCCCCCAGCTTGTGCTCTCTCTCACTCTCTCTGTCAAATAAATAAGTAAAATCTTAAAAATAATAATAATTAAAAAAAAATAAAAAGGAGCCTGGGACATTTTGTACTTAAATGACATGAATCATGCATGTGCCAGGTTTATTCTTAGCCTCCGAGCAGAACCACACAGCAAAACCATCCTTCTAAGTGGCCCTGGTCATCTCCAAGGATGGGCAAGTCACAGTCACTTCTCCACAGCTGAGTTCTCCTTCAGGGGGAGAGCCTACATTACTACGGTCACGCTGACTCTGTTCTAAGACAAGCGCATTCCAACTAACCCCTAGGAACTCTTTCTGTCAGCTCCCCTGCACACCTCCTCCAGGAGGCCTTCCCTGACCATCCTCCTAGCTGAGCTAAGTGTCCTTGATTTTTGTTTTTTAAATATCTCCCATGCATCACAAATCACTGCACTTAGGGTATTGTTTTATGGTGCTCAGGTATCAGTCTGCCTCCCTACACACCCTAGAGCTCCTTAAGAGAATGGACTATATCTTGTTTGTATTATCCCCTGGCAAATGGTGAGCATTCCAGGATTCTGAATGAATGAATGAATGAATGAATGAATAGATGAATGACTTAAAATTACTACTTACTAGGGAAGTTCCTGACATGACTGACTGGGAATCAGTCAGTGTAAGTATCTCCCCTGCACCTGACATTCTTCTTTGTGGAGTTTCCTTTAGAGAAATATTGACCATAACCATCAGCATTTCACTCTGCTTCCCATTTTAATTTCCTAGTGCATGAGCCTATCAATGAACTGTGCAATACCAGCTCTGGTTCCTTTCCACAGGAATAAAAAGAATTTCATAGTTCTGGGAAAACCTGTACCTAATCGGAAGCATATTGATGCCAGGGCCTTTCAATTTTCCAGGAATAATGTTAGAGCTCTGTAACTCACTTTGTATATATTCATATTCCCACAGGCAAGCGAAATGATAACCCAGGCATTAACAACAATTCTCATAATGTAAATAAGGACAGAACCAGTGGCTTAGTGGTTAAAAGCGTGGGCTTTGCAGTTGGCCTCTCCTAGCACCCAATCCTGGTTCCACCACTCACTTGCTCTGAGACCTTGGGCAAGTTGCTGTACCCTCAGAGTGCATATTTTCTCACAGGCAGGATAAAAGTGAGAACCCTCATTTCTGGGGTTGAGACGACCTATGTAAAATGTTCAGTGCAGCTGCCACAGAGGGCTTGAGGAAGGCAGCAATCGTTTAACAAAGTTTAACAGCCTTCTAACATAGTCTCTCATTCATTTCTGCGGACAAACTGGAGTTTGAGGTTCTGGGAGTTGAAATAACTTAATGAGCTCACACCGGTGGAAAGAGGCAGACCTCTCTAATGCTCTGTTCCTTCAGGTGGAAAAAGCATTGCTAAGATTTCAAGCCCAGGGCCTTGAGTATGGGGCCTGCTCCAACTGCAAACTTTGCCAGCGAATCTTGAAGCGGGGGCCCAAGGGAGGGGAGGAAAGTGCAGGGGTCTGTGGGGGAGGGGAGGGAGACACAGAGGCACAGGTCCTTCCTCCAGCTTAAGTCTCTCTGAGGCTGACCTGCCCCCCCACCCCCAGCATCCCCAACCCCCGCGGGGCACCAGGCCCTCCCACACCAGGACCCCCAACCCCGACTCACAGAGTGCGCCCTCCAAGGACCTCAAAGGCCTGGCCCTCCTGCCACCTGGACCCCTCGGTCACCTCCCCAGCTTCCACTGGCCACTGCTTTCTCCTCCAGGTGCTCCCTACCTATAGTTGTCACCTAAGCCCCGCCCCAATGTAACCGCCGCTAGGGCCCGCGGCGGTAAAGCGGGAGTGCCAGCCGGTGGTCACGTGTCCAAGGCTCTGCCTGGCGCCGGCGGGCACGCCCCCTGGCTGTCAGCTGGGAGAGGCGCCACTGGGGCCCTTGTCCTGAAATTAGCCTTCCTCCTTCTCAACCAGTCTTCACCTCCCTCCCCCAACATTTTCCCAAGGCGCCAAGGATTGAGAAGAGGCATTGGTGGCGCCTGCAATTCTGACTTTCTGAAGACTAGGTATGAGCTGTTTGGTAAAATCGTCCTTGTCAAAAGAAAACTAAATTTCCCCGCCTCCTGGCTCCTCCGCGAAATGGCCCCCTTACTGGGGGTGCCGCCCCAGCGGCGGTGCCCGTGGCCCCCAGGTCCCGCCCTCATGGCCAAGGGACGTTCTCCTGCTGCAGGCGCCTGAAGTGCGGCAGCGCGAACTCCAGCAGGTCCGCAGGCTGGTGCCTCGCCACGTCCACCGTGGAGCCCGGCAGCAGCTCCAACAGTCCCCTGGGGATCTCCCTGCACATCCTGCCAGCCCCCCAACCCGCGCCTGGGCGCCACCCTCGCCGCCTCCCTGGACCGGTCTGCAGCCCCGAGGCCCCCAAGCGAGCGCGCTCCAACGGCGCTGGAGGCGCTACTCGCTGCTAGCGCGGGGGTCTGGGCCCCGGCGGCCCGGCTGGCGCAGGCCGGGGCTCCCGCACTCTACTCGGCTGCTCCCTGCGGCGGCGGCGGCGGCGGCTGAGCGAGCGCGACCCGGGAGGGCGGCAGCATCTCGGGCTGCTCCCGCTCCCTCTCCCCTCCCGCCGCTTCTCTCCCCACCCCTCCCACTCTCAACCATTGTTCATTTTTGTTAAAAATTTGTTTGTTGGAGAGAAAGGACGTGAGTGGGGGAGGCGGGAAGAGCGGGGCAAAGAGAGAGTCCTAGTGGGCTCTGCACTGAGCTCAGAACTTGACTCAGGGCTCAATCACAAGAGCCTGAGATCAGAACCTGAGCCAGAACCAAGAGCTGGGCACTTCACTGAAGGTGCCGCCCAGGTGCCCCTAAGCTGTTGTTTAAAAATTTCTTGAGACTTGTTTCTTGGTCTTGAATGTGGTTGACCTCAATGAGTATTTCCTGCGTCCTTGGGTATTCTGCATTTGTTGGGCCTTGTGTTCGAGTGCCAAACAGGTCAAGCTGATTGAATGGATTTTTAGGTCTATTTACTTGCCATTTTTCTATCTGCTTGTTCTATTAATTATTGACAGATGAGTGTTGAATTCTCCAAATTGAATTGTGGATTTGTCAATTTCTTTTTTTCAGGATGTTTTTGCTTCATGTATTTTGAAGATGCAGACTTTATGATGGCCATGTCTTTATAAATTGATCCTTTGTTGTTATGAATTGTCTTCTTTCTCTGTTAATTATATTTGTCTTTCTATTGTCTATTGTCAATACCTATTAAATTCAGCCTTTGATGATTAGTATGTGTACAGTATAGCCCTTTTCATAATTTTTCTTTTCACAAAATCTATATTATCCTCTACATCCTATTTAAAGTTTATTTTTCACTGACATATTTAGGTCTTTTATTTAAATAGAATATTAATAGTTAATTCTTAAGGTAATTGTTGAAATGTTTAAGTTGAAGTCTACTACCTTGCTAGTCGTATTTTATTTTTCCCATCTGTTCCATCCTCCCTTTTGAACTGCCTTCCTTTAGATGAACTGAGTCATTTGTAGGATGCTATCTTCCTTCTATTATTGGCTGTCACATGGGCAATGAGATATTAGTAGGTAATTCTGACTCTTTCTAAAATTGTTCTTCAACTTGTTGAGGGAATCTGTAGAGTAGCCTTTATTTTAGGGCTCATTGAGTCCCGCTACTAACTCATGATCCTTACTGGGTCTCTACTGAATATCCTGACTTATCCAAAAGAACTCTTCCCTCTGGCTGGATGGAACTCCAATGACCTCTAGCCTTGTATGAGTCTTGGGAACCATCTGGTTCAGTTCCATTTACTCTTTGTTAGAACCTGGGGCATTTTCTTATACACGCACTGCTTCATATTTAGCAAGGACTCAAGAGGACTCCAGTGTGTATTTCCAAGAGCTTGTTTTCTCCTTGACTTCCTTCTTTCTGGAATCCATGACCTTTTCATCACTCCAGCCTTCCTAAATTCCAATCTCTCTTTCCTCACACCAGTGAGACTCCCATCTTTTCCTTGGAATCTCCTCCATACCCCCACCATCCAGAACTCCTCAGGTGAATAGCTGAGTGAATCCTGGGGCTCAATTTTTTTTTGTTTGCTTGTTTTCGTTGTCGCAGGGTTCACAAACGTGCGTTCCTTTTCAATGTTTTAAAGAAAGCATATATATATATTTTTTTTTTCCCCAATTCCCCATGTGCTTATGGTTGGTTTCCTTTCCTCTAACAAGGTTTGTATTAGTTTTCCAGGGCTGCTATAACAAGATGCCACAAATCTAGTGGCTTAAACAACAGAAATGGACAGTCTCACAGTTCTAGATACTTCAATGTTGTTAGGCCATGCTCCTTTTGAAGGTATTAAGGAAGGATCTGTTTCAGGCCTCTCTCCCAGCTTGAAGTATTTCTCTGGCTTTGGGCTTCTTCACATGGCCTTCTCCCTCAGTGCATATCTGTGTATCCCAAGTTTCCCTTCTTATAAGGACACAAGTCCTATTGAATTAGGGGCCCACCCTACTCAAATATGACCTTATCCTAGCTAGTTACATCTCCAGGGACCCTATTTACAAATAAGGTCACGCTCCCAGGTGCTGGGGTTTAGGACTGGGGTAGTTTTTATGTATATATACATATATATATATATATGCTAAAAAAAATATTTTTGTTTAGAATCTCAGTTGTCCTTCCTTTCATTACAAGGTTATCCACATGCTTTTGGTGCCTACTGAACAATTCTACCACCTCGACCTCCTAAATCTCCATGAAAGTTACTGTTACCAAAAGTCATATGCCATTTTTTGAAAAACAGTTTGCATCTTTTTGGAGTTTACAGTTTTTTTGGTATTTAATATCTGTTTACATGCTAATGAAGGTGACTTTCATCCTACTCCTTCCTTCTGAATTTGCTTCTATTTGTTAAAGTAAATTCTCTAGTGTTTTAAAAGAAGGATCTATAAAAGCTAAATGGTTATTCTTTGTAAGTCTACATTTATTTTTTCTCATTTTGTATGTACTTTTAGTGACCAGAGATTTGAAGGCTGACAGCATTTATCAGCATTTTAAAGATATAAAGGAAAAAAATGTATTTTTAAAAAGGGATATAAAAAGTGATGAAGCAAAAAAATTGCAAGACAACAGACAAAAATTTAGGGGCTCAGTAATTTCATGAACTGTAAATGGGTTATATACTCTAATGAAAAGATTAAATTTGTTAGATTTCATTAATACACACATACACACATAATGATGTGCTGTTTCTAAGAGAAACATAATACGCTCACCAATGCAGAAATAAGATTTTGTAATATTGAACACCTAAAATTGAACAACTAATCTACAAACCTAGAAGTGGACATTCTAGCCAGTATAATAAGTTATGGAGGAAAAATTAAAGTTATAACAACTGGATAAAATGAGTGAAATTTGTATAGAAAGGTATTCTAATAGAATGTACAAAGTATTATCATCAGTAAGTGAATTAATCAAGGTCCTAGGATAGAAGTTAAAAATTAAGAAATATTCATTGGAATTCTGTGAAATACGAACAAAGGTTGAAAATAATATTTATGAGAGCATCAAAACTAGGACTTAATCTATCCAAAGACTTTATACAGTCTCTACACAGAAAGTCTCCACACAGAAAACCAAAATAATCACTAAGGGGAATTTATGACCTAAAGAAATGGGATGTCGAATACGTTAATATGTTAAATATGTTAATAGACCAGGTTCATAGATTTGATAATCAGTATTGTAAAGTTTCAATTTACCCCAACTTGATTTAGAGATTCAATGCAATCCCAGTTTCATATCTAGCAAGTGCCTGTGTACATTGATAAGCCAATTCTTATATTTCCATGGAAATGAAAAGGACTAATAATTACCCAGCAAGAGCAACAGTGAGGGAGAAAGAGAGTGAGAGGAGAACCTGATGGGATTGGATTTATTACAAAAAGAGTATTGAAGTGACCAGAGAAAACAAACAAAAAAGGGCAGACTTTGACAAAGCAGTGCTAAACTAGTTGAATAGCCACATGGAACAAAATAGCCTAAAACTCAATTCCAGACTGATGTAGACTAAATACGAAAGAGGACATCACAAATTTTCTAGAAGGTAAAATAGGAAAATATTTTTATGATCTGGGGGAAGGGGCAAAGATTAGTTCAACAAGACACCAAAAACATGAAGTGTAAGAAAGGTTGGCAAGTTGTACTCTACTCATTAAAAGGTAAAAAATAAAAAATTCTTGCCCACCAAATGACAAGACTAAAACTGTGAAAGACTATATCAATATACCAACTAAGTAACTGTATACAAAAATATGTAGGATAACTATGAATCAATAAAGAAAGGTAGGTAACTTAAAAACAATGAAAATACTTGAACAGAAATATCCCAAAGAAAAAAAATCAGCCAATAAACACATGAAGATTCATAACATCCTCAGTGATCACAAAAGAGCAAAGGAAAACACAATGTGTTAGTGTTGACACACAGAAGGCAGACCCAAAAAAGTGTTGATTAATCAAACTGATGTAATAGGTAATGGAGTGGGGCACCTGGGTGGCTCCATTGTTAAGCATCTGCTTTCTGCTGGGGTCCTGATGCCAGGGCCTTGGGATCAAGCCCTGCCTGGGGCTCCCTGCTCAGCAGGAAACCTGCTTCTCCCTCTCCTGCTTCCCCTGCTTGTGCTCCCTCTCTCACTGTCTCTCTCTTTCTGTCAAATAAACAAATTAATTAATTAATAAGTAAAAATAAAAT